GGTATTGCTACATCATATATCTCAAATGTGCCACATCACCGAGAAGCAGCCTGTTAGGTGAAGAAACTGCTACAGCAATATCAGTTGAAAGAAGTAATGCTCCCTTCGCCCTGCAACAGGCTAGCGTGTGCCCACACAGCATAGCCTATGGCTAGGGTTGGATGAGGGCTGAAGCACCTGTAGCCTAATGTAACCCTGGGCCAGGGGCCCTGGAGATTCCCCACCTTGAAGCACAGCACTGTGAGATCCGATAGGCGCAATGCAGTTACAGGACTGCAGCTTCACAGCCCCCACTGCCCCCCAGAGGCTCACGGCCAGGCCCCTAAGCGGGAGGCAGAGCTCGGACTTACATCTTGGACAGCTTGGAGGCGGCTCCGCCCGTCACCTTGGCCACCCGCAGCTGGGACAGCTCCACCTTTAGGTCATCCAGTTGCTTCAGCAGCTCCTCCTTCTTCTTCCCTCGCAGGTCACGGGCCTTGATCTTAGCCTGCCAAGGAGAGCGAGAGCGCCCCGCTCAGACCCCGGCCGGACCGCCTCCCAGAGCTCCCCCCGGGCCCAGCCGGCTGCCCCCTCAAAGCCAGGCCCGGGCCCGTCCCCTGCACCTTTCCCCGGGCCCAGCCGGCTGCCCCCCTTCCGACCCAGCCAGCTGCCCCTCAAAGCCAGGCCCGCCTCCCCGCCCAGCACCTTCGCCAGGCCCCCGGGCCCAGCCGGCTGCCCCCTCAAAGCCAGGCCCGGGCCCGTCCCCCGCACCTTTCCCCGGGCCCAGCCGGCTGCCCCCTCAAAGCCGGTCCCGCCTCCCCCGAGGCCCAGTCCAGCCCGCCCCTCTCCCGCGCTTACCGCCCCTCAGAGCCCGGACCCAGCGGGGACCCGAGGACCCGGCGCGGCCTAGCCCCGGCGTCGGCCCCGCGGAGTCTCGGCGCCCCCGTTCCCGGCCCGCGCGAGGGAACAGCGGTGCTTCGGGGGGAGCGGCCGGGCCGCCGGACCCGCCTCTCCCCGCGGATGGCTCCGGATTAGAGCTGCGAGGGGCCCCGGCCACAGAATCCACTCACCATGTCGCCAGCGGCTCGAGCGAAAGGACGGAAGCCGAACGAGGCCAGACGTTAGAACGCGAAAGAGCCTGGCTGGGCGGGATCAACCAATCCGGTCTCACAGTGCAGGGGTGATGGGAGGAGCCGGCTCACCGCAACTCGCCCCCCGCAGACTCGCAGCGCAATGGTACAGCCCGCCCACAGAGAGCCCCGCCTCCCCGACTGAGAGGGGCGGGGCCAGGTGTCCTGGGGCTGCTGGCTCTGGGGGTCCAGAGTCGGTTGAACTTGCTGCTCTGTGCACTGGTGCTAATGTATAGCAATTGCTGCCCTTCTGATAAAATCAACCCCTACAATAACGACAGTAACTATTGCAAGTAATCAGTGATAAGCTGCCAAAATCTTAACGGGTTCCCTCCTCACCCCACGAGGGGGTCGCTGCCCACCCCCCGGGACTCCTGCCCCATCCAACCCCCCGCGTTCCTTGACGCCCCCCCAGGACCCCTGCCCCATCCTCCCCTGTCCCCTGACTGCCCCCAGAACTGGGCAGGAGGGTCTCGTGGGCCACCATAGTAGGTGCCCATCCCACCCCTAAGAGCCAGAGGGACCTACCGGGGGGCAAGGTGGGGAGTCCCTGCGGTGCTTACCTGGGGCAGCTCCCAGAAAACATCAAGCAGGTCCCTCTGGCTCCTAGGGGCGGGGGAGCATAGCTGGGGGGGGAGCAGGCGCTCCCTCCACTGATCACATCAAAAGTGGCCCCTTAGGCGCCGACTCCATGGGTGCTCTGGGGCTGGAGCACCCATGGGGAATATTTGGTGGGTGCAGAGCACCCACCGGCAGCTCCCCGCGCCTGACCCCAGCTCATCTCACCTCCGTCTCCACCCCTGAACGCACTGCCCTGCTCTGCTTCTCCACCCCCCCCCCCCGGCTTACCACGAATCAGCTGTTTGGCGGGAAGCCTGGGAGGGCTGAGAAGCAGGTGGTGGCTTCCCGCTCAGGCCCAGGGTGGCGGAGGTGAGCTGGGGCAGGGAGCGGTTCCCCTGCGAGCCCCCCACGGGTTACCTGGTGCGGTGCGGGTGGCCCTGCTCGCGCCCCCCCGCCCCAGCTCACCTCCACCTCCCTGGGCCTGAGTGCAAAGCCACCGCCTGCTTCTCAGCCCGTCCAGGCTTCCCGCGTGAACAGCTGATTCGCGGGAAGCCTGGGGGGGGGGCGGAGAAGCAGAGCGGGGCGACGCGTTCAGGGGAGGAGGTGGAGGCAGAGTGGAGGTGAGCTGGGGCTGCAGGTGGGTGGGGAGCTGCCGGTGGGTGCTCTGCACCCACCAAATTTTCCCCTTGGGTGCTCCAGGGCTGGAGCACCCATGGAGTCGGCACCTAAGGCACCACTTTTGGCCAGTTAAATTTAGAAGTCCTTTTAGAACCGGTTGTCCCTCGCGGAACAACCGGTTCTAAAAGGGCTTCTAAATTTAACAACCGGTTCTAGCGACCTGATGCAAACTGGCTCCAGCTCACCACTGCAAGTAATTATATTGCATGAGGCCGGAATTCTGCCATGCCTCTGCATATGGGCATGCCCAGGGCTTTCATGAGGCTCTGTATTGATCCCTTGCATGATCAGGTCCTGTGTCTCTTAGGGCATGTCTACACTAGCTGCCGGAGCAATGGGCAGTGGTCAATCCAGCGAGGGTCAATTTATCGTGTCTAGTCTAGACACGATAAATGGACCAGTGATCACTCTAGCGTGGACTCCACTTCAATGGGAAGCGCAAGGGGAATCGATGGGAGAGCGTCTTCCGTCGACACAGCGCAGTGAAGACCAGATGGTAAGTAGATCTAAGTACGTCGACTTAAGCTACATTATTCACATGGCTGAAGTTGCGTAACTTAGATCGATCTCCCCCCGTAGTGTAGACCAGCCCTTATACTCGGATTTATCTGTGAGAATCTAATGTAACAGGTAACAGTAGCTGTCAAGATACAGAATGATAACATGTACCATAACTACTGCTCTGTAACATTCCATCTTATAACGGCTGGCTGATAATCAGACCTGATCACTGCGGCCTTAGAAAGTAAGAGGTTAATGCTGTCTGAGGATACTGTGCAAGGCACTGACTTGACCCGCTGCAAAGACAATTAAAGTGCTAAAATCCATGAATGTCATTGCTGTGGTAATGCTGCTCCATCTTAACTGGGTAGTGTCAACTTGAAAATCATGCTTCTGTCTGAAAATGGTGTTCCTGCTAATATTAATGGGACACCTGAGGCCCTGAACCTGCAGTTGTTTCCAGATGGGTAGACCAAGGGTCTCCTCATGGGTACAGGATCTACCTGCAAGGATCCAATTGCAAGTTTGGAACTTTAGGTTGATGTAACAGAGATCAGAGAAAAATCTATTTTCTCAGGTTGTATTTGTGCATTTGACAATGTCACTGTTTTCCCTAAATAGGGCTCCAAACCACACAAGCAGGGACCACTCTGACTTTAACCCCTTTGATTTTAACAGGCCTTTGTAGGAATGCAGGGTCAGTGAACACAGATCCCAATGTAGGCTTGGGGCCTTAATTGGTCCTTTCTCCAGCTCCGCGATACGCAGTTCAGCATCCATATGGGGGAGCAGACGAGTGCTTGGAGGAGATGACAGAGCAGTGGGTTACTCCAGGGCTCTGTGCTTTCTCCAACTGTGTTCAACCTTTACATCAGTGACTTGCCAACAACAGAGTCACGAAAGTTCATTTATGCAGAAGACATCTGCTGCGGTACCCAGGCCCAGTCATTCCACAAGCTTGATGCCATCTTAAACCAGGACATGATAAAGTTAGCTGACTACTGTAAGACTTGGCGTCTCCAGCCAAGCATCATAAAAACAGTCTCCAGTTTGTTCCATCTTCATCACGCCAGAGCAACCCGAGAACTGAATGTTTAAAATTATCTGAATGGTCAGAAGATGAAGCATGAAGTAGAACCGGTCTATCTAGGTGTGACCTTAGACCACACACTGACTTACCATGCCCACCTGAAGAAGACAGCAGCTAAAGTTAAGACGCAAAACAATCTTCTTAGCAAATTGGCAGGTTAGTCATGGGGTGCTCGTGCTCCAACTTTGTGGACGTCAGCTCTTGGAACCTCGTATTCAGTGGTGGAGTACTGCGCACCAGTTTGGAGTAGATAATCACACACCAAACTGGTGGATACGCAGTTACATGCTGCCATACATATCATCTCTGGCACCCTGCATCCGACTCCACTCCCATGACTTCCAGTTCTGAGCAATATTGCTCCTCCTCATATTAGACGAGAGGTTGTCTCTGGCAAGTTACTAGAGAAAATATGCACCAACCCAAGCCTGCCCCTGCTCAATGACCTTTTAAAACCACCAGCTGCATGTTTGCTGTCACGTCGCCCATTATGGTCTCATCCACAACGCCAGCATGTTAGGGTGGAAACACTCTGGTAAGAGGAATGAACATCTGTTATAATTAAGCACCTCCCAGAGCCTCCCCTGAGCCCAGCCCTTAGACCCAAGCTGGCTGCCCCCTCAAACCCAGGCCTTGTCCCCACCAAGCCTTTCCCAGGCCCAGTCCGGCCCACCCCTCTCCCGAGCTTACCACCCCTCAGACCCCAACCAGTCCCTATCTGCCCGCCTGGTTTTGACATGCCCCGTTGCCAATGGTCTCTGTTGAACAGGTTCTGGATTGGACAAGGTCTTTGTGCAGCCAGCCAGTATTGCTGGGGCCTTCATGACAGCCCTTGTGCAGCTGCGGTGCAACACAGATGATGACACACATTGTCGATGAATGCCTGCAGACTAGGTTCAGCATTGGCCTAGAACAGGGGTGGCCAACCTGAGCCTGAGAAGGAGCCAGAATTTACCAATGTACATTGCCAAAGAGCCACAGTAATACATCATGAGCTCCCCATCAGCTCCCCTCCCCCGTCCTGTGCCTCCCGCCCGCCCACCGGCAGCCCTGCTGATCAGCGCCTCCCCCTCCCTCCCCACACCTCCTGATCAGCTGTTTAATGATGTGCAGGAGGCTGGGGGGGATGGGGGAGGAGCAAGGGCATGGCAGGCTCAGGGGAAGGGGTGGAGTGGGGGGCAGGGCGCATGGCAGAGCCAGGAGTTGAGCAGTGAGCACCCCCTGGCATTTGGGAAAGTTGGTGCCTGTAGCTCCAGCCCCAGAGTCAGTGCCTATACAAGGAGCCGCATGTTGCTCCAGAGCCACAGGTTGGCCACCCCTGGCCCAGAAGAACTGCATCACGCCACTGAAGATGCCATCACTTAGCTAGACGACTATGCACATGCTAAATAAAATTCTCCAGCTGTTTGTGTGAGTCTTTCTTGTGCAGCAGGGATCAGGCAGTCCCCTGGTGCAGGCAGTCCCCTGGTGCAGTGGGGATCAGGCAGTCCCCTGGTGCAGGCAGACTCCAGGTGCAGTGGGGATCAGGCAGTCCCCTGGTGCAGTGGGGATCAGGCAGTCCCCTGGTGCAGGCAGACTCCAGGTGCAGTGGGGATCAGGCTGTCCCCTGGTGCAGTGGGGATCAGGCAGTCCCCTGGTGCAGGCAGACTCCAGGGCGGGGGGGGGGCCCGCGCCCCTGGCAGCCCCGTGAGGGGGATCGGCGCCTGGGGGCCTAGGTGAGTGGGGATCGGCGGGGGGGGAGGGCGCAGACTCCAGGTGCAGTGGGGATCAGGCAGTCCCCTGGTGCAGGCAGACTCCAGGTGCAGTGGGGATCAGGCTGTCCCCTGGTGCAGTGGGGATCAGGCAGTCCCCTGGTGCAGGCAGACTCCAGGTGCAGTGGGGATCAGGCAGTCCCCTGGTGCAGTGGGGATCAGGCAGTCCCCTGGTGCAGGCAGACTCCAGGTGCAGTGGGGATCAGGCTGTCCCCTGGTGCAGGCAGACTCCAGGTGCAGTGGGGATCAGGCAGTCCCCTGGTGCAGTGGGGATCAGGCAGTCCCCTGGTGCAGGCAGACTCCAGGGCAGTGGGGATCGTCCCAGGTGCAGTGGGGATCAGGCAGTCCCCTGGTGCAGGCAGATCCGGTGCAGGTGGTGTGGGGATCAGGCAGTCCCCTGGTGCAGGCAGACTCCAGGTGCAGTGGGGATCAGGCGCCTGGTGCAGGGGGGCAGTCCCCTGGTGCAGCAGACTAGCAGTGGGGATCAGGCAGTCCCCTGGTGTCGCAGCCTTGGTGAGGGGGATCAGACAGGAGCCCCTGGTGAGTGGGGATAGGAGTCCCCTGGGAGGAGAGGGAGGGGGAGTGGGGATAGGTCTGGGCAGGCGGACTCCAGGTGCAGTGGGGATCAGGCTGTCCCCTGGTGCAGGCGGACTCCAGGTGCAGTTCTGCCTCTCCCCGCACGGTAGCGCCCCTGCCTCCTGCACAGCCGCTCCTGTCCGTAGCTAAGCAGCAAGAGCCATACTCGCTGTTTCAACCTACCCTGCTAGGGAAATGGCAAGAGAGTGACGGGAGCTGCAGCCAGTCAGAGAGCGGAGTCGCCTCCTCGCCGAGCGACGAGCCAATTAGAACCTGGAAAGGGCGGGGCAAGTCCGCCCCAGACTAGTGTGAGGCGGCATCCGCGCGCCCCCGGCACCGAGCGGCAGCGCTAGCGGCAGCAGCAGCTTCGCCGCGGAGCTGGCGGAGGCGGCGCGGATGGTGAGAGGAGCCGCCCGGCAGCGCCTGCCCCGCACTGGCCCGGCCTCCAGGTGAGGGGCCGCGAGTGCGCGCGCACGGGGGGGCTGGGCAGGAGCTCGGGGGCTCCGGCTCGGCCGCAGGAAAAGCGCGTAAAGCCCCCCCGGCCTGGCCCCCTTCTCGTGCCCCCCTCCCCCCGTAACGGCCGGGACCCCCGCCTGCCCCCCCTCCCCCGCCCCCCTGACTCGCCTTACTCCCCCCTTCCCTCTAACCCCCGCCCCCCCCGCCCCGTAACAGCCGGGACCCCCGCCTGCCCCCCCCGCTCCCCCTTCCCCGACACGCCTTACTCCCCCCTTCCCTGTAACCCCCGCCCCTCCTTCTTCCCGCCCCCCCGTAACGGCCGGGACCCCCGCCCCCCTGACTCGCCTTACTCCCCCCTTCCCTCTAACCCCCGCCCCCCCCGCCCCGTAACGGCCGGGATCCCCGCCCCCCTGACTCGCCTTACTCCCCCCTTCCCTGTAACCCCCGCCCCTCCTTCCCGCCCCCCCGCCCCTTAACGGCCGGGACCCCCGCCTGCCCCCCTCCCCCCGCCCCCCTGACTCGCCTTACTCCCCCTTCCCTGTAACCCCCGCCCCGTAACGGCCGACCCCCACCCCCTGACTCGCCTTACCCCCCTCCCTGTAACCCCCCCCCTCCTTCCCGCCCCCGCCCCTAACGGACCCCCCCCCCCCCCCCCCCCCCCCCTACCCCTTACCCCCCCTTCCCTTAACCCCCCCGCCCCGTAACGGCTGGGACCCCCACCCCCCTGACTTGCCTTACTCCCCCCTTCCCTGTAACCCCCCACCCCCCCGCCCCGTAACGGCCGGGACCCCCCCCCCCCTGACTCGCCTTACTCCCCCTTCCCTGTAACCCCCCCCCTCCTTCTTCCCCGCCCCCCCCCAACGCCGGGACCCCCCCTGCCCCCCCCCTCACCCCCCCCGCCCCCGTAACGGCCGGGACCCCCGCCCCCCTGACTTGCCTTACTCCCCCCTTCCCTGTAACCCCCCCCGCCCCGTAACGGCCGGGACCCCCGCCCCCTGACTCGTCTTACTCCCCCCTTCCCTGTAACCCCCGCCCCTCCTTCTTCCCGCCCCCCGTAACGGCTGGGATCCCCGACTCGCCTTACTCCCCCCTTCCCTGTAACCCCCGCCCCTCCTTCTTCGCGACCTCCCTGCCCCGTAACGGCCGGGACCCCCGCCTGCCCCCCTCCCGCTCCCCCTTCCCTGACACGCCTTACTCCCCCCTTCCCTGTAACCCCTGCCCCTCCTTCTTCGCTCCCTCCCCGCTCCGTAATGGCCGGGACCCCCGCCTGTCCCCCCCCCCCCTGCTGTGCTGCTCTCTTACCCCCTCCCTGCTGGAGCACCCCTGCCCATCTTACCCCCTGCTCTGCCCTGAGCCCCCCACTCCTGCTCTGTTCCCCTGTGCAATGGCCCCTGTTGTGCCCTGTGCCTTGCCATGTCCCCCTCCCCCTGACCTGCCCCACTGGATCCCCTCACCTGTAAGTTCCTGGGGACAGGGCCCCATGCTCAGAGCTGAGCATGCTGTTGGTGCCTAACCAGAGCTGAATTATGCCAGTGAGGTAAGGGTGGCAGGGAGGACCCTGGGGTGTGTTGGCTGGAGCCTGTTACCCCTCTGCCCTTCCTGGTGCTCGTACCCCTGGCCCTCCAGGTCACTGCCTTCTCTTTCTTTCCCACCTCCAGAACAACAGGCCTGGTGGAGAAGCCTTCTCGCAAACGGAAATCCAGGTAAGATGGTGATTTCCCATCCCCCCCTTTACTTTGGTGATGGCTGACTCTGTGGATAGGCAAAATAGACCTCCTTCCACCCTCATGCCTCGTTGCCCTCACAGGCACTTCTGTAGAGCCTCCAGCTACAAGATCAGGCTCAGCCTTGGTGTAAGCAGGAGTGAAGCACATTAAAATCAAGGGAGTTGTGTCCACAGTGTGTGCAGTCAAAAAATGAACTGCTCTCTTAGCCCAGGAGACCCTGGCTTCCCCTAGCCAAGTGACATATCTGTGAATGCTCTAGGAGAGGGTGGGGGGATTGTAAAATGGTGTTAAAGCTGCAGACCAAGGCAAATAGTGCATTGTAGTGTATGTACCTTGTGCAGGTGATAGAAAAACACACATAGGAGAAAATCAATTCTCTGCTTGGGAAGATCTTGAGTATCTAAGAACCATGGAAGTGATTCTAAAGGCAAGAGGGGATTTCTTTCCTACTCTGGAGATGTCAATAGGGAGATGCTTTTGCTTGCATTTAGCATACAAGTTTCTGTGTCTGCTCACCCAGAAGAGAAATGTCTACAAATCCTTGCTGCTGCCTTGTTCTGTGCACCTAGCCTCCTTTTTGGAGGCTGGTTTTCCCTTGCTCTAAATACTTAATTTCTGAGGCGAGGGAATGGGATTTTATTGTTAGTCTCTGGAATATTCTCCAGATTCTGTCTGGTTCAGTGTGGATTTCATGGCTCCTTTCACTTGATGATTTCTGCTTCGTTACAGCCTCTGACAGCAGGAGTCTAAAAGTGTTAGTGATTTGTAGTGGGGGAGGTTTGACAATGGGAAACATACACAACAGTATGAATACCGACATGCATGAGATCTTTGTGTGTAAATATTTTATTCCTGCAGTCTCCAGACTGGTCAGTATAGAGTGAGTGGTGCTGGCACTTTTCTGTTTCCATCTGCAAAACTGCATTAAAAGAGGCCACAAATAATTTCCTAACTTATTATATGCAAGCAGCTGCTGTGGATCTCACCTGAATGTTGTTTGAAGGCAAGTAGTGGAGAAGGTAGTTTGTGCCACAGTGAATTGGAAGGGTGGTTGTCTTAGAGACTCTTTCTCTACTAAGGTGTGGTCCACCCTAGTGATGAGCTGCCAAAATCTTAACAACTGGTTCCCTATAAAAAATTCTGATTCAAGGCATGTGCCCCAGTATGTAGTTTTTTGTACCAACAGGGTTACCACACGTTCGTATTTTCCCGGGAGGAATTTTTAAATTTTAAAAATTCCTCCCGGATGGCAATTTAAGAACCAAAAAGCCTGACCTGTCCGGGAAAATACGGATGTATGTTAACCCTGCCTAAAGTTCTTTTTCTAAAAAGATGCGCCTGAACTAGAAATGAGGTCTGTTTCACATGTGTGGGTCCCTGCCACTCCCTGGGGGTGTGCTAGGGTGACCAGATGTCCCGATTTTGGGTTTTTTTTCTTATATAGGCTCCTATTACCCCCTGTCCTGATTTCTCACACTTGCTGTCTGGTCACCCTAGGGTGTGCACATGTGTGGGTCCCAGCTGCTCCCTGCCCCCCTCATTGAAGCAGGTGTGCAGGGTTACTGTCCTGGGAACTGCAGGGCACCAGTGGACGTGGGGCCAGCTGCAGACGGGCGTGGGGCAGGGCTAGCTGGAGGCAGGGGGTGCAGGGCTGGCTGTGGGCAGGGCAAGGAGGTGCGGGGTTGGCTGGAGGTAAGGGGGTGTGGGGCTGGCTGCGGGCAGGGCAGGGGGTACAGGGCTGCCTGGAGACAGGGCAGGGGGTGCGTGCGGCAGGGGCTGGCTGCGGGCAGGGTGGTGGGCGGTCACGGGGAGAGCAGCAGGACGCAGCCCAGGCCCAGCAGAGCAGCTGGGGACCCACTAGGCAGCATCGGGAGCCCCAGGGCCAGGGGAGCAGCAGCAGCAACAGGGCTCGTGCTCAGGGCCAGGCGGCAGCCCACATGGCTCCCACAGCGCAGCGCCCCCGGCAGCTAGAGGAGGAATTACATCACTTCCTGGCTGGAGCCCATCAAAGCCTCAGCACCCCCTGCAGGGAAGCGGGTTAACAACCGGTACTAAAACTGCTTCAAAATTTAACAACCAGTTCATGCGAACCGGCTGCAGTTCACCACTGGTCCACCCTATGGAAAAAGTTTAGGGTCCCCTTACTGTCTTCCTCCTGTGTCTGCTGTTCATGCTTTGAACTCCTTCAGTAGTTCTGTGCCTTAAGGGCTATTAAAACAAATTCCATTTTCACCAGTTGATAGGATGCTCAATGGGTTTTGGGGCTAGGCAGTACAGGCTGACAATCGGTTCAGCAAGAGAGATTTGGGTGGGGAAGGGAGATGGAAAAGCTGCGTGTGTGTGTGAGAATTTTATTCACAAACTGAAATATTTATAAATAAGCTTGTTAATAGTTTTGTGTTGTGAATTGTTGTTGCTTCTCTCTCTCTCTTCCTGTTACTTACGGTAAGAATTGTGGTGACGTACGGCTTGATCTGAACCCTTGACTCAGTCCAAACTCTACTGATCCAAGGGTCTGACTCTGATCTCCTGTCATTGAGAATAGGATGTTACTCCACTAAAGTCTGTTGAGTTGCAGTTGTAAAAAGCTTTGTGGGCTAGTTCTTTCTTGAGTCTTGTAGTTAGGACTTGTCTCCACTAAGGAATTGTAGTAAAAATTTTCTAATGTAGTTAATGTAATTTCAGTTCAACTGTTGGGAGCCCTCATATAGATGGGGGGCAGACAGCTGCTGGCATTCTCAATGCCTTGCCATGTAGGCCTGCTCTGTGCTGGGTTAAACAATATAGCAATTAAATCCTCAGTGTATCCAGGAACCCTGTCTGTGCTATTTCTCCCACCAGTGCTGCCAGCAACAAAGCTGAAATGGTAATGGCAGTTGTGGGGAATTTTAGCAAAAATATCCTAGTGTAGAGACAGCCACAGTGGTTTACAGAAACAGCTACTCTTGAATGCAGTTACTGAACTTACATGAACACAGTTGCATAAGAGTTGTAACTTTCATTGCTCAGTCCATTGAATGCGTAAGCGATTAGGAACCTTAGCATCACACCTGACTGTAGATTAGACTTGTGGAAAAAGACATTTAATTTTTATCTGAGATTAATTGCCTGCCCCTTCCTGGCCTGCTCCCACTCTTTAAATGGTTTGGGGAATCTTTGTAAGCCAAGCAGTATTTTATTTTAATTGAAACAAACATTGAGTCACTTAGTGACAAGCAAGAGCATCATTCTCTATCAGTCAGGGCTGCCAGAATAATGCAGATAGGATACACAACTACAGCAGCCAGCTACTACGCTACAGAAAATGAGGATCTCTTTACAGAAACCATTTGTGAGGAAAGGAGAGTCTGAAAGTCTTGTCGCTCAAATTGTGTTACAGAGAAAACCAGCTATTGTAATGTTAGTCTTTGCAGCTGAAGAAATAAACAGTAAACTGCTGGAATTCTACTGAAAATCAATTTCCCAATTAAATATGGGAAGCATTCCTCCCTTCCCTCACCTAGACAACTAACTTGGTTAAGCTGTAACTGTAGAGGCATGTGAAGACAATGGCACCATGTTAATGTTCCCAACACCTCACGTGAAAGGTGAGATCTATATTATAACAATGATATAAGCCTATAACAGTTGGAGGGAGAAATGGGTACCTTATTTGAATTATGTTCTGTTTCTATATTGCTATTATTTATAAAGCATCCAAAGTTTGCCAAGTGCTTTACAGAAAAATAGGGAGACGGAGTCCCTGTGCTGAGGAGCTTGAAACCTGTCCCAGTTCTAAAAACACTTGGTCTGAAAAACAGCCCTGGAAAAACAACTCTTTGCCAGAGGGCTGTGCTATATAAATGTACCATTAAAATGTTAGACACTTAAGAATGATAATCTCCATGCATACCAAACTGCAAATTTTTGTCTTGCTAAGGTTTTGACTGCATTTGAAGAGTTGCTGCTTGAAAAATATCATGGTCATAGAAGTAAGCAAATAAACATAGGGCACAGCCAGTGTAACTTGACTAGTACATAGTGGAGAAGCAGGCCTGGTAATCGGTGTCTACAGGAAGAACACTGTGCCCAGATGCTCGCAGGGTGGGAGAGTAAATCCCTCCCATATTTCCCTGCAGGATGCAGCTCTTGTTCCACTGAGTAACAGGACAGACATTGGTGTTCTGTTCTTTTTACCATGTTCAGGATACTTGTGTGTCATTTAGATGCCACAAAAATATCTGCCTTATTCTGTTATGCATTTGTACAGTGTCTAGCACAGTGGGGCTCTGGTCTGTGATTGGGGGCCACTGCTGCACAACTTCTGCTCGTGCTGTACATCATCTTTACACTGATTTAGCTTCACTGATTTCAATGGAGTTCTGACTTTCAGTAGAGTGAAGGAGGAGAATCGTACTCTGTGTGTAGATATGAATTTGATAATCTGGATTTGTCATTTTGCTGGCTCATCTGTTATGCCTGGGGACATGAGGCAGCGGGAGAGGAATTCCAATATGAAAGAGTCTGAAATCTCCTGAGATGAGGCTAGTTCGCAAATGTTTAAAATTAACCACTGTCTAATGTTGTATTTTAAAATGAAAAGTGAAGTAAAATCAAAAGCCTGTATTATGGACGTATGTGGATGTGGTGTGGCACTCTTCACAGTGCCCCAGAGAACACTGATTGAAGGAAATCAGAGCTGTGCAGGCAAAACTCTCCCTATTAATTTCTCTGGAAATCTTGACCGTTGCAGACTCAGGTCTTGGGTCTGTAACATAGGTTCCTTGTATCAGAGTGGTTGCCATGTTAGTCTGTATCCACAGAAACAAGGAGGAGTCCTGTGGCACCTTAAAGACTAACCGATTTATTTGGGCATAAGTTTTCATGGGTAAAAAACCCATGCCCAAATAAATCTGTTAGTTTTTAAGGTGCCACCAGACTCCTCACGGGTTACTTGCCACAAGTATGCAAACTCCACTCTTGGGGTGTGACTTCAA